GGTTGAAGTGAGTGAGTCAATTTTTGCATAAAAAGTTGTCCCCCTTGGTTTTATTCTCTACCTATTTCAGCGATTTTCTTTTTAAACTTTCGGATTTACAGAAATTGAGGTGGAAAGTTTTGAAATGAACACCCTGTATATTCGCTTATAGGCTGAAAATAACTGTCGAAATTTAGTAAACGTAAGCTGATATTCATTTTCAAAGAGCTTTCCATTGATATCACACATACATCTGAGGGCTTCAGGGGGTAAACTATCCCTAGTTTTTTGGAATATTTTAAAAACTACCCTGTCGATTTTGGCGATATTATGTATCCTTATAGTACGTTTAAAAATATTAATGACGTGTTTTTTCTTATTTGCCTCTGACCATCCCCTGCAAAGTTACGGAGTATGATAGATTACCCCTTTCCTTAAGAATAATGTGATAAACTGTTACACTTTTGAACAATATTTTGAAGAAAACCATAAATTAGTTGTAAATTAAGATTTACACAGTAAAATAAACCCAATATGACATTAAGGGGTGGCTGGGGTAAAAATAAATTTAATAAATTTTTTTGCGAAAATTGTGTCGCTTTTGGTGCAATTTCCCACGATGATTTTTTTATACGTTAGGTAGTATTATTGTAAGAACTTACAAGGGCTAGAAATTTGGGGTAGAAAATATATTTTCGCTAATAACTTTCATACTCCTACAGAAAAATGTTTTTTATCCTCATTCTATTGAAATAACACAAAAGTTAGGATAATTATATAAATATTTATTAATAATGAGTTAAAAACTAACTGACAAAAGAATGGTTGACTATCACAAATTGTATTTTACATTATTAATTTAATTTCTTTCTTTGTGTTTGTATTTATTGAGTTTATTGTTACCTTTTGTTTCTTAGACTTGATTAAAATTTTTCTTTCTAGTAGAGAAAAAACTAAACACGACTACGTTTTTTCGTAACACTGTAAGCTTTGAGGATCATTGAATGCCCACGCTTTTGATCAATTAATGATATTGTATTCACGTTAAACATTAATTGCAATTAGTTGAAATCATTGCCAACTACGATAAGGTAACTTTTGTAACTGCAATGACGTAAACAAGGCTTGCAGATATTTAAAAATACCTTTTTTCTGGTTTAACCACTTATGTAATCAAAATCTTATAAGAGGCAAAAACGGTTTAGAACTAAATGGGCTATTCAGAAATTATAATAATGTAATTGTCGCCTGGCCAGAAAAAAAAATATGGACTAATATCCGGTGAACACATGAGTTTTCCATCATTCCTGTGTTTCTAAAATTGTATCGAAAACCATAAAAAGACATTAATTGAACCCGTTGAACACGTTTTCGAGTTATAAAAAATAAAAGAATTTTTTTTGCTAACTTTGAAGTCCTTTAGCGGCGAAACGAAGCAACTTTGGATATAGATAACTTAACTTAAATCGACCTATTTTGAGCCAAGGAATCTGTGGTCTTCCATTGTACACGCATTTCAGAGGTAGCCTGTATATTAAACCAGTAAAAGTGCAAAAATAATTTACATTCTTTTACATTTAAAGGAATGTAAATAATTTTTAAAACATTAATGGTGCAAAAACACACCATTGGGATGTATGATGAAATATAAGGATTACATCATCTTTCGTATTATCTATCGTATTATCAGATATCAGTCTAGACGCATTTATTCGGTGAATTCCCTAGAAATAGTTGTTTATGGACATACTGCGTCAATATATGTGTAGCAAACTTAGCGTTCATTTAGATGAAGACTGCTTTGCGAAGTATCACAATAAATGATTACACTGTTCATCCCATTGGTAAGTTTTTGCACCAATTTTAATATAAATATTTTTTAGATCAAACATCATATTAAAGTTGGTATTTGTTAGTATTATGTTGTATTACTATTATTATTTATTTATGACTAACTTATTACGTAGTTAATAAATGATAATCAAAATATTTTTGTGTTGTTCTTCGGTTATCTTACCAGTGGTGCATTTTTGCACCATCTCATATCTCACAAAACAATTTTTTTTCAAACGCCTGTGTACATTTTTATACTTTTCATTCCATCTTATCTCAAGGAAAATTATAAAAACCCGATTTTTTTAAATATAAAGCAGCGTGGGACTAAATGGGTTAAATCCGCATCCGCTTACGCATCCGCAAAATTAGAATAATAAATCCGGTTCCGCATCCGCATCCGCTAAACTCACATCCGTAACATTAGCAAAATCCCGAAAAATTCTTTAAAATATTTCTAAGTCCCTTGAAATTGATATAACTTTCTGGTTGGTATTGAAAATTCTTGGAGAATGAGCAGAACATCGTCGAGAATATTTAGATATCCATCGAAATTATTATAAATTTCTTGGAATTGAGGAACATCGAATTATTTGCTCGATGCCATGTAACGAGTTACTGTCCACAGAAGCTTGGAAAGCACGAAAAGAAAAATTAGGGATGGAAAGTTCACGTTATGAAAAAACAAAAGCGTTTTACAACTCTTGAAAATCAGGTTTTTACTGTTTCGTCATTTAATAAGTTCGAAAAATTTCGAAGCATTTTTACGATACTATACAGACAGGATGATTTATTAGCTCACCATCAAACTTTGACATATGATAGCTAATCGAATTAACAAAAAAAAATTAATGAACATATATGTCCTATTTCAATTATTGACGAAATTATAACACTTTAAAGTTTTAATTTTTATATCATAGTTAACTGCTACATTTTTTTAATACACATAAATATTACAAATACATGTTTCATGCCATGCAAAATTTGGACTTACATGTATGTTGTGTGCTATTCTACGAGTGCTGATGGAAGGATTATCAATGACAGCATTAATTACAGCTTCTTCGTCCTCTACATTAATTACATGCGGTCGAATAGCTTTTGCAGTCTTCTGAAAGAATCGCTAAAAACTGAATATGGCTTTCTTGATATTCTCGTAGTATATTGCAAAAAGTATATTACAAAAAACATACACGAAAATTATACCAGCATACTCTTCTGGCTATAAGCGTACATTTTGAGTTTCTTCTTGTATGTAATAATTAAACCTTACAGCAAACTGACATACTACAATGACAACTTGGTTTTTGTGAATGTTTTATTTTACTGACTGTTAATAAATTCGCTGCAGAAAACTTTAAAGTGTTATAATTTCGTAAATAATTGAAATAGGACATATCGTCGGTATACAAGAGAAAGTGACTAAGTCCACAGATAGTGGTTTTGAGTTATTAGTATTCTAATTTTTGCTTCTTATTATAAAATCAATTATTTTACGTGAGATTAGTTTATAATGATTTTTATAAATAATATAGTTTTTAGAATATGTATTTTAAATTAAAAAAGTCTATAATTAATTTAAGCAAATACTAAACCAGTAACTCATTTCAACTGCATAGGTTTGTAATGGTTTCTATGAACAATGCAGATTCTAGAATATGTATTTAAACTTAAAAAAGACTATAATTAAACAAGTAGTAGTAACTAGTTTCAACTTCATATGTCTTCATCACTATATTCATTGTGTGAGGGTTCTGGACACTTGTCTTTCAAGGAATTGTCACTCGGTATGTCAAAGTACCAACCATGGTATTCGATCGGAATTACCCCCTTACGGCAAAGTTGAATTAAATCGTTTTTCTTCTTGATCGATATAGGCAAGGGTTCAGTATAACATTTCTTTAACTCAGTTTCTTTTGGAATATTATTACTGGGCCTACCTTTTGCTTTGCCTTTAATGTTAAACATTTTATACTCTTCATCATAGTTGTATCGGAACATTATAAACTTTTTTTTCTCTTTTTCGTACCTTAATTGTTTGATCTTTAACCATTCTATTTTTTCTCCCCCTTCATCCCGAATTGTATTTTGTAGTATAGATGTATTGAGTGCTTTCAAGTCAATAATGTCACGGTAAGTCATTTGCTCTACAATGTAGGCACCAGAAGTTTTATTTTTGCCTCTCTTGGATCTTGCTAGTGTCATAATTGTCTTCCAATCATTAAGACAAAATACAGGAATGTATTTTTTTGCACTTTCAATTGCACTATGCATCGAATCGGCCTCCATGTGCGAGTGACCTTTTTCTAAAAAGTTGTGAGTAATAATCTCTATAGGTAACTGGTTGACTACAAACAACAAAAGAGCCGCAATGTATTTATTTCGGTTTTGGCCGCCACATGTGTCGCTAAAGAGTGACACTTCTTTGACAGTATCAGGTAAAGTTTTAAACCACTTCAATAAAGCTGTACCTATTTCACAACTTCCTCGTTGGCCATCAACTTCGGACCAAAGGTAACAATATCCCTTATTTGGTGGAGCTGCTTCATAAATTGCTAAATTGTATGCACATAGCTTTCGACTGTAGTAAAGAGGTGATACATCGGAGCATGGAATTTGCAGGACACTCTGTAAGTCAAAACTTACTGATACAAAAGTTTTGTCATGAATTGCTCTTTGTTTATCTAAATCTTTTGCTCTATTAGCATCATCCCTTCGCTTTATGTGAGAAAGAAATTCTTCTGATTTTTCAATAGATTTAGCTTCTTTAACACACAGCAAACATTGATCTTTCTTTGGTTTGAAGAAAGATAAGTTATACTGCGTACAAAACACCCTCCTATATGTTATTGGAGAAACAAAATCCTTTTGATTGCTGATCTGTAAATCTTTGTACAATTCATACATTTTAAGAATGGATAAGGTAGAGTCAAGATACTTCCGTGTAGTTCCACGTCTACAATAGTGTGATTCCATCACAGGAAATGATTCTATATGTCTCTTCACCTCATTCAAAATGACAGGTTTAGTCTTATTTCCTGGGAAACTTTTTCCTCGTCGATCTTGAATTGAATGATTTATTCCATTTGTGTTTATGTTTATTATAGCAGAATCAACCGGTCCATGACTTATCGACAAGGTTTTTAAGTAAAAATTTTAACAAACTCTTTTCTTTTCTCCGTTTTTAACAAATGTATAAATTTTAGAGACATTTTTTGCAGGTCTACTAGAGTCCCTCGTTCGTTTTCTTCTGCATTCAGAAGTTGCAACGGTATTAATTATAAAGTCCTTTTGTCTGTCATAGGATAGACTGTGATACTGTTTACAGATATCTTGTCGACGATCTGCAGGAAATACTTCTGTANTCTGAAAGAATCGCTAAAAACTGAATATGGCTTTCTTGATATTCTCGTAGTATATTGCAAAAAGTATATTACAAAAAACATACACGAAAATTATACCAGCATACTCTTCTGGCTATAAGCGTACATTTTGAGTTTCTTCTTGTATGTAATAATTAAACCTTACAGCAAACTGACATACTACAATGACAACTTGGTTTTTGTGAATGTTTTATTTTACTGACTGTTAATAAATTCGCTGCAGAAAACTTTAAAGTGTTATAATTTCGTAAATAATTGAAATAGGACATATCGTCGGTATACAAGAGAAAGTGACTAAGTCCACAGATAGTGGTTTTGAGTTATTAGTATTCTAATTTTTGCTTCTTATTATAAAATCAATTATTTTACGTGAGATTAGTTTATAATGATTNGCTAAAAACTGAATATGGCTTTCTTGATATTGTCGTAGTATATTGCAAAAAGTATATTACAAAAAACATACACGAAAATTATACCAGCATACTCTTCTGGCTATAAGCGTACATTTTGAGTTTCTTCTTCTATGTAATAATTAAACCTTACAGCAAACTGACATACTATAATGACAACTTTGTTTTTGTGAATGTTTGATTTTACTGACTGTTAATAAATTCACTGCAGAAAACTTTAAAGTGTTATAATTTCGTAAATAATTGAAATAGGACATATGTTCATTCACATTTTTTTTTTTGTAATTGGATTAGCTATCATATGTCAAAGTTGGTGAACTAATAAATCACCCTGTATAAATGGAAGAAACTTTAGAAGATTTTATGTAAATAGTTTTGAATACTTTTTCTACGAAATTGTCAGTAAACCAGTTTTCTTTTCTAAAATAAACATACTCATCCATTAAAGTATTCTATTAAACACAACGAAAACTTGAAACGAGAACAAACAAAACGCGGACATAGAAACGATCCGGTTTTAACTCGATTGTTTAAACCGGCTTCCGGCACGCAAAGCTTGGAATTTGTCCCGAGATATTAGATTTTGTCTGTTCAAACATTGCAACAACCGGATTTGTCGTACCCGCTGTACGTTTTCAATTAAGAGTATCTCAATTCTATGCAAATAAAACTGTAATGTTTTCCATCTTATTCTACTAAACAGAGAGTGAATAAAAATCGAGACTAGAGATAAATGATGATATTGATTGTAGAGGAAATGTGAAGCTTGTACACGCAAAGCAAATTTGCGTGGATGAAGTATTGCACTACCGAACCGCCTATAATCCGCATTACAACCCATTAATGCAAAGCGGCTACTGAATGCATCCGCTCCATTATTTGGCTGCGTTGCTAGTTTCCGTCGTACGAAACCCTGTTAACTAAACAAAATTTGTACTGGCAGCGAAACGGAATGGCTTTAAATTGGGAAAATAGTCAATCAACAAAGTATTAATGAAACCTATTTAATAAAAATATATGCTTTTTTATGAGTGTATCACATTTTTAAGTATTTCTTTAACAACGACTCTCAAAGTTACAACTAATCTTTTTTGTAACATTTCCAGGTAAATATAATTTTTTTGTTAATGATGATTCAACCAAAGGCACCATTACAACAGTTCCCCATCGTTTCTTTACTACATCTCGTTTAACTTCCAAACAAATCTCCTCAAAATGACCACTAAAAATATAAAAGCGTGTAAAATAAAAATAAATAAATTAAAAAATATATTTACTCTTTAGTGGAAGCCATTTTTTCACAAAGTGATTGTATAAACCAAGTACCATTTTTCAAATGCCTTATGGCTGTATAATCCGGAATTGTGGCATAAAAAGCTAAAACATCCGCCGTTTTTGGTGATGTTAATTTTAGTGTGGATGAGTCAACCCCATCTGTCGTGTACTCATCATCAACTAAAAATAATTTTAAAATTAATTAAATACATCTTAAAAATGTTTTAAAAACTAATACTTCTTTGTCGATTTTCGCCTTGACAAGCTTGTATAATCAAAATTTTCGGTTTACCCGATAAAGATTTCGCATATAAAGTTTTTTGTATTTCAGCAATATCAACTGGGATCGTATTACATCCGTAAATAACCCCTTTATCACCATGCGACAAAATCGCAATGAATAAAGAAGAATAGTTTTCTTTTTCGACGGTTTTAATGCAATCTTTAATATCTTCTTTGATCTGATCGTGGCGTAAGTTATCTTTTACGACAACATTGAAATTTAAATTTGTGAATACTTTTTGTAAACTTTCTCGGTCGGTTTTTGTCCCTGATCGGTCTTCTAATTTTCGTGAAAGATTTGGTAACAAATGCTAAAAAATAGTAAATTAAAATTTTAAAAACATACATATGACTTGGATTTAGGGATGCAACATCGCTCATAAAAACATCGATATTAGAACATCGATGTTTCCCAAAAGTTCGATGTTTGCAAAAGGTCGATCCATCGATGTTTAAAAAAATATTCAGTGGCTGAATTTTTATTATAAGAATTATCATAATAATCAATACTATTTGGACCGCGTTCTGCATCACTTGACTAAGCGACAAATAATAATAATAATAACTTTATTATCATAAATTTAATCACTAAAACTAGAGACAAAATGATGACGATTTGTGTAAAAATTTTTGAAGAAAATAATCTAGAGTTTGATTTTGTACTTTTAAACTGGTTTTTATTTTATATAGAATTTAAGTCTAACCAGTTTCGGCCCTTGGCCATCTTCAGTGACTCTACAAATAGATTAACATCTCTCATCTTATCCATTTTACAAACAAGTTTCTTAATACACTCAGTTCTAAAAAAAAGTGACGCACTTGATTTTTGACCTAATTTTAATATCTTATATTTTTTAAACCAGTGGGTCGATTTTTATTATTTTTTTATTTTTTGGTAGCCAACTCCTTTGTCTTAAAAAAAAATTAAAAAGGTGGAAATTTTTTCAATGACTCCTGGATGGTAGTGGAAAAACTGGAACCATGTTTTTTTCCGAATTTTTGACTCACCCTGTGTATTAATCAAGTAATGGTATAGAAAGTGCTAACACCCTATATGAAAGACGTTTCTTTTATGAGCATTTTGTTTTTTTATTCATTAATTTATCTCTAAAATTGTCCGAATTGAAGCTTTTTTGTTGAAACCTTACGTTTATCAAACAGATTTAAGAAGTATGATCACATTGTCAAACAATTGACGTTGCCATAGCAATTAATTTGTCGTTGTGTCATTAATTAACTACAAAAAAGTTTTGTAGTGATTAAAATTACATGAAATGCCTCAAATAAATCCAGAACAAGTACCAAGATTAGTTGCTTTAGTAAACGATGGGCGTGGTAAACGTTACACCACTCGTGCAGTGGGAGTCCATGAAGCAACTGCTCGTAAAGCAATCCGCAAGTACGAACAAACAGGAAGCACTGCTCGGAAGGTGGGTTCTGGTCGCCCTAGAAAAACGTCTCCAAGAGATGATCGTTTCTTGAAATTGCGGATTTTACGGAATCGATCAAACACTGCGGTAAATGTTCAGCAAGATCTTCGCCAAATTCGTGGTGTTGCAATAAGTAAGCAGACGGTATGTAGACATCTAAAAGAAGTTAATTTAAAAGCTAGGAGACCTGCAAAAGGTCCTAAATTATTGCCCGAACATCGTGCTGTTAGAAGAAATTTTGTTCAAAATTATGGAGAATGGAATATTTCTGAATAGTCGAATGTCTTGTTTACGGACGAGTCAAGGTTTTGCCTTAACATGGTGGATGGAAGAAAAAGAGTGTGGAGAAGGACTGGTGAAAAGTTTAATCAGAATATAATAACAGAACGCGAAAGTTTTAATGGTTGGTCGGTTATGGTGTGGGAAGGGATGTCAATGAATGGAAAGACACCCCTTCATGTTTTTCCGGTGAGGCGGTCGATGACGGCCCAAATTTACATTGACATTATACAACAGTATATCTTACCTCATGCAGAGCTGGTGGGCAATAATTTATATATTGATGCAGGATAATGCCCGACCACACACCGCAGTAGTAGTGCGAAACTTCTTAGAAGCTACGGGTATCACCACATTACAGTGGCCTGCGAGAAGCCCCGATATGAACCCTATCGAACGTTTGTAGGATGAATTAGGGAGAAGGGTACGTTCTCGCGAGAGGCCTCAGGAATGCCTCGCAGAAATAGCAGATGCGTTAGTGGAAGAATGGGATCGTATACCAATGGAAACGATAAGAAACCTGATTTCCAGTATGCCGCTTAGATTAGAAACTCTTAGAGTTGCTAGGGGAGGCAATACACGGTATTAAGCAGTTATCCCAGTTTATAATTTAGTGTTTAATAAAACTTTTTTAAAAATTCGTATCAGTTTATTTCACTAGAAAACTGTTTTTCCATAAATTCAGAAAGTTGGCAATATGCAAGGTTTCAACAAAAAAGCTTCAATTCGGACAATTTTAGAGATAAATTAATGAATAAAAAAACAAAATGCTCATAAANAATGGAAAGCTCTTTGAAAATGAATATCAGTTTACATTTACCACATTTCGATAGCTATTTTCGTTTTTAGCCTATAAGCGAATATATATATTTCGCCCCGATTTCCAACCCTTATAACTCGCCCCAGGGGCTTTATTAGCACCTATAAAAAAATACGTAAACCTTATTTTTGGCCATACTATCGCTGTACCAAATTTCAACAAAATCGTTGAGGGACAGTTCTGATACTTCCCTTCCCTTGTCAGTTCCAAAAAAAGTGACGCACTTGATTTTTGACCTAATTTTAATATCTGATATTTTTTAGCCGATTTTTATTATTTTTTTTATTTCTTGGTAGCCAATTCCTTTGTCTTTCAAAAAAAAATTAAAAGGGTGGAAATTTTTCCAATGACTTCTGGATGGTAGTGGAAAAACTGGAACCATGTTTTTTTTCCTAATTTTTGACTCACCCTGTGTATTAATCAAGTAATGGTATAAAAAATGCTTACACCCTATATGAAAGACGTTTCTTTTATGAGCATTTTGTTTTTTTATTCATTAATTTATCTCTAAAATTGTCCGAATTGAAGCTTTTTTGTTGAAACCTTGCATATTGCCAACTTTCTGAATTTATGGAAAAACAGTTTTCTAGTGAAATAAACTGATACGAATTTTTAAAAAAGTTTTATTAAACACTAAATTATAAACTGGGATAACTGCTTAATACCGTGTATTGCCTCCCCTAGCAACTCTAAGAGTTTCTAATCTAAGCGGCATACTGGAAATCAGGTTTCTTATCGTTTCCATTGGTATACGATCCCATTCTTCCACTAACGCATCTGCTATTTCTGCGAGGCATTCCTGAGGCCTCTCGCGAGAACGTACCCTTCTCCCTAATTCATCCCACAAATGTTCGATAGGGTTCATATCGGGGCTTCTCGCAGGCCACTGTAATGTGGTGATACCCGTAGCTTCTAAGAAGTTTCGCACTATTACTGCGGTGTGTGGTCGGGCATTATCCTGCATCAATATAAAATTATTGCCCACTAACTCTGCATGAGGTAAGATATACTGTTGTATAATGTCAATGTAAATTTGGGCCGTCATCGACCGCCTCACCGGAAAAACATGAAGNTACGACCATGTTACGCAATATCGTAATCACCTTCAAATGTTGACTGTCGAAAAGCTCAGATCATTCCGTATACTGACAACGCTGTATAAGATACTTTCTTCTCGGACCCCAGGATACTTGTACACGAACTTTCAATTCATGTCGTCTCGCGGTCTGCCTACTAGAGCACCGTCTGATACGTTTCTCATATTTCCCATTCATCGCACCGAGAGATATCATGGATCTTTCACGGTGCAGGCTATAAAGCTTTGGAATAATTTACCCATGGAAATACGCAACACTCGTAGTTTTCTGACATTTAAGGTCTGCTTAATGGATTATCTATTATCATTACAATTATCGGAATCTAACTATTGATATCGCCTGCTTCTCTCCTCTTTTTCTTTCTCTTCCTCTCTATCAACTGTACTCGTTGTGTTGTTTTTCCTTTTTGCTCTTTTTCTTCTTTTTGCTTAAATGTTGAATTATTTATATAGCCACATTGATTTTTTTTTACATACGGAGCTGGTTGGGTCTTTTGGAAGACATCGCCTTTGGCGATAAACTGACCTTTTGTCAACATGCATTACTTATTCATTTATGTATACATATATATTATTTTTCTCTTGTATTAACTATGTGGCAATAAACTTATTATTATTATTATTATATACTGTTGTATAATGTCAATGTAAATTTGGGCCGTCATCGACCGCCTCACGGGATAAACATGAAGGGGTGTCTTTCCATTCATTGACATCCCTCCCCACAGCATAACCGACCCACCATTAAAACTTTCGCGTTCTGTTATTAAATTCTGATTAAATCTTTCACCAGTCCTTCTCCACACTCTTTTTCTTCCATCCACCATGTTAAGGCAAAACCTTGACTCGTCCGTAAACAAGACATTCGACCATTCAGGAATATTCCACTCTCCATAATTTTGAACAAAATTTCTTCTAGCAGCAGGATGTTCGGGCAATAATTTAGGACCTTTTGCAGGTCTCCTAGCTTTTAAATTAACTTCTTTTAGACGTCTGCTTACTTATTGCAACACCACGAATTTGGCGAAGATCTTGCTGAACATTTACCGCAGTGTTTGATCGATTCCGTAAAATCCGTAATCTCAAGAAACGATCATCTCTTGGAGACGTTTTTCTAGGGCGACCAGAACCCACCTTCCGAGCAGTGCTTCCTGTTTGTTCGTACCTGCGGATTGCTCTACGAGCAGTTGCTTCATGGACTCCCACTGCACGAGCGGCGTAACGTTTACCACGCCCATCGTTTACTAAAGCAATTAATCTTGGTACTTGTTCTGGATTTATTTGAGGCATTTCATGTAATTTTAATCACTACAAAACTTTTTTGTAGTTAATTAATGACACAACGACAAATTAATTGCTATGGCAACGTCAATAGTTTGACAATGTGATCATACTTCTTAAATCTGTGGGATAAACGTAAGGTTTCAACAAAAAAGCTTCAATTCGGACAATTTTAGAGATAAATTAATGAATAAAAAACAAAATGCTCATAAAAGAAACGTCTTTCATATAGGGTGTAAGCACTTTTTATACCATTACTTGATTAATACACAGGGTGAGTCAAAAATTAGGAAAAAAACATGGTTCGAGTTTTTCCACTACCATCCAGGAGTCATTGAAAAAATTTCCACCTTTTTAATTTTTTTTGTAAGACAAAGGAATCGGCTACCAAAAAATAAAAAAATAATAAAAATCGGCCCACTGGTTTAAAAAATATAAGATATTAAAATTAGGTCAAAAATCAAGTGCGTCACTTTTTTTGGAACTGAGTGTATGTATTTCTTTTTGTTTTGTTAAAAAAGATCACATATCAATGTCGAAATCAGATTATTAGTTACTAATTTAGAAAACTAAAGTTTAAAAAGTTGTAAAATGAAACTAAGGACGAAGTGTTACAAGTTTACAGATTAAAATTTAAGAACGCCCTTTTTTAACGAAAGAAATATTAAGAAACTTGGGAAATTATTCAAGAATCATCATGTGGCTTAAAAATCGACGACTTTTTTAATCAATGTGAAATGACCCAAAAAACACGTTAAAAATATAAAGAAAGTACGGAAAGGTGACTAACACTAGATTAACTTCAGTTATAAAACTTCTATTACATGATAATTAACTTCAGGTTTAAAATGTCAACCTCACTTTTGACATATTTATAATCTTCATCAAAAATCCTTTAAAATGAGTGCAAACACGACATATTTACCTTCTATATTAATGAAGTTATGGTCAACTACCGGTTAAGAATGTCACAATGAATTTTGACATATTTGTAATCGTCGTGAAAAATCCTTTAAAATGAGTCCAAACATGTTATATTTAATTCCAATATTAATCAAGATATAAGCAACTTCCGCTTGGAAATGTCAATGTCATTTTGACATATTCATAATTTTTATAAAATGTCTTAATATTTGTCACAAAAACAAAAATATAATAAAAAAAAAATAAAAAATTAAGGTTGGTATTAATATTTAAAAATTAAATTGCTATCTTCATTGTTGCTAACTTTATTATACAG